ACCTCCTCATCCTTGGATTCCGTCTTGATGAGGGTTGACGTATATTGCTCACTGACATAGAGCGCAACCCTTCCCCCTTTCTTCCCCACCCTGTCCTTTCTGTACAATCTATAGCCCTCAATATGTACTGCCCAGTCGTGGGATGAATCCCACCAGGTTTCCGTTAGCCCCACTAAGTCATAGGTGTTTAGTGCAAGCAGGAGCCATGTTATCTGTCACCCTCCCCCTACCTTTCATCTTTGCCTCAGTAGTTTAATATCTTAATGTTAAAACTTGTTCTGAGTAGATCTTTAGTATGCCCTGTCTCTGTATCTGAAGAATTAATAGTGTGCAAGCGTCTGAAAAGTAATTTTCCTGCCTGATTTTCAAAGACAAATCTTTAGAACTACACTTTCCAGCATTTAGAGTGAAATGATTGCATGATGTGACTGACCATCAATCCCTTCATGTATTTCTTTTTTGTAAATAGCTAGTGGTGGTTAGAGAAGCCTGATGTTAGAGGGGTACTTTAGCATTCAGGTTTAATGTTTAACACATGCATTTTTGGTACTAGATTCCATATATGGAGCATATCCACTACCAGCAACTGTGTGCATTTAGTGTGGAGAATGTCACTCCATTCAGTGCTGTGTAGCAAAGGAAGAAAGTTTTCTGTAAAATATTACTCTGTACAGGGATGCCTCTTTATTTTAGGAAGGGTATTGCTGTTTATTATTCATATATGATAGGATGGCAGCAGAACAATTGGCATGCTTTTACCCATTGGCATTTGCCTTTACTCTCTCTGTATGTGACTATTCACTAATCTTTGAGAAACTTAAAAAAAAATCTGAGTGCTCCTCAAAAATCCTTTTTTTTTTTAGTCTGCTTTTTAAGCGTGTGTTAAATGTGCATATATACAAGGTAGGCTATAATCTTTAGTAGATGTAGTTTAGTAGACTTTGCTTACCAATCTAAGATGATAGTAAAGAAAGACAATGGCAGTATCTTAAAAATGATGTCTGTATAGTTGGGATATTTGCACCAAAACTGATTTTAGTAATCTGAGTTTGAAAGCCAGGTGAAATGATTCAAAACCTAGAAACGTAATTAAATTTTGTTTATTCGATCATAATGTGTTGCTTATATTTCATAGCCACTGTAAGTTGGAATATTCCATTTCTGATTTGAGAGAGGTAATTAGTAATGAAGTCAGGTAGAAGGTAGGACAGGGTAACTTAAAGATTGACTGGTTCAGGAACTGGTTTTTGAACCAGTTTGTCTTGAAGGTGCTATTTTGCCGTGCCTTCTACTTTCCTCTTTTGGGGATTGGAAATGGAAAACATAGTAGAGTTTTTTTTTTTTTTTTTTTTTCCTTCAAACTGCTAGCCCATCAAGAGTTTTATTGGATTTATTAAACTCTTCTCCATTTGTATCACTCAAATTTTAATATAGATTTTTCTCTTCTTTCAATCTAGGGCAAAAATGCATTTTTCAAGGATCTTTCTTCAATTCAGTTGCTGCCCAGTGGAGATATGGATCCAAATATTTTATCCATACGACAACAAGTAAATATAAATCCTTATATTTGAACAAAAAATGACAGAATTTTTCAAATCAGTTTCATTTAACTATAAATAACATTTTTTTTGATGATTTTGCTTCGAAGCTCTTAAGGAAAATTGTGACTGCAGCGGTACATTGTTCATCACAAAAGGCCAAAGGAATCTCAGAAGAGATGTCACTTTCTGCTGAAAGAGAGAAGGACTGGCCAGTTTTGGCTGTGGGGTTGGCTCAACCTCTTCAGGTCAATGAAGATGTAATTAGACGGCATTATGTGTATGAATTGTATAATTATGGAATGGATCATCTTGGAGAAGAGGTAAGATGTGCTTTTGGTAGCTGGAGCCCACTCAGAATCATGAGGAGCTCTACTAACTTGACATGTCTACATTTGACATTTTTGTAGTTTTACTACCTAGCAAAGGATCTGCAAATTCACCTTCTCAGTATATTTGCAAACAAAGCTTTGACTTAAAATGGGGCATGTTTCCTGTTGCGCGGTCATCCAGCAGAGGGAGCACAAGTTAACATATTTGACCCTGGTATGTAGAGTTAGTTGAGATGGCCATGCTAAATTTCCTTATTCACATCCCACAAAAAAATGCTTCTAGGAGGGACTGCTTCACAGATTTATAAAGTGGGGCTTTACTGACAGTGTTGAGCAAAGCTAAAATAACTCGCAGTGCTTGCTAGTGTTTATGTATTCTCAAGCTACATTGTACTGTCTGAGGAAATTTTCTTTTGTTAAAGACCAGTTAGAGAATTGGTGTTTCAGCAAGCTTGATACCAGACAGGTTATTTCACGGGAGGCTAACTTAGAAGTTCATTGTACTGCAAATCTATATTTTCTGAAGCTTTGCAGTTCATTAATCTTTCAGTATAAACTGTGTTGGAATTCCAGTGCTTTAGTGTGGGTCTTGGGATTGTAGTTTACTGATCCTTGAAATATTGGGTGCGCCACCAGAAAATACTGTCTGAACTGTCAGTGTTTGCAACTCAAATTTTGAGTTCTCTGCCTTTGTTAGAAGAAGTTAACACACTTGTATGAAGATGTAAGATTTGATGTCACTTGGAAAATAGGCAAAATTTAAATATCTGGAAGTCTTGCTGTATGTAAAATCATTTCATCTCTGATCAAAAAGTTATAGGCAATTGCTAGTCTTCAGGTTGAAAAAGTTTTCAAATCATCTGTTGAGTTTGTCCTCTTGGGCATTTTTTCAGAGTGAAAGAACATGACTTTGTATTTCAAGACTTAAGATACGACTCGAAGGTTTGTTGCACTGCTGAGTTTTGTGCTTTTTGTTCTTAGGGTTCTAATGTCTAGCACAGAGCTGTGGTTTTGCTTTCTCTGTTCCATTGCTTTCGGAAAATGTCCATTCATTAGTCAGTTTGCTGGGTTATTTGTCCTATCAACTGAAAGCTAGTAAGGAAGCTGAATTTAGGCAACCCTATGAAAACTAAGTTTGGTGGTGGCTGTTTTTGTTTGTTGAGGGATTGTAATCTGACTACTAATGTGTATGTTCCTTTTCTCAGGCCACTCTTCAAGTGCATGACAAAGAAGTGCTTGCATCACAACTACTTGTGCTGACAGGTCAGAGACTGGCCTATGCTCTGCTACACACTCAGACGAAAGAAGGAATGGAGCTGTTGGCCAGACTTCCTCCAACACTCTGTACTTGGCTTAAAGCTATGGTAAGTTCAGCTTGACCAAGAAAAATAGTGGAGAGGTTTACAGAAATCTTAAGCAAGATTTAGCTGTTATAAATTATGACTGTAGTGTGAGGTGAGGTGCAGTATTTTTTATTGCACTGTCTTGTAAAGTTGGAAGAGGGAGGAGATGCAGTTTTATACCATAATCCAATGTCAGGTGAGTGAAACTTAACAATCACCGGGCTTCTGAATGAAAAAAATAAACAGCAAACACTTCACAGAACCACCACTCCATCTTTTGATATTACTGTCCCTGTCCTCAAAGGAAAACTACAGAAATTCCTTTTTAGGATGGGCTTGGGAACACATACATAACTCTACTGGATGTTAAAAGCTGTGGACTTTGGTTTTATGGTTCATAACTTGGCTGTCTTATATCTCTAACTTCCCTTTGCTCCACAGGTGAGAACTGGCCACTTCCCTCTCATATAATCAAATTCATTTAAAATCATTTGTGAAACTAAAGCAGTTGCTCTAATTCAGGGGTAGGCAACCCAGTATGGCATGCAAAGGCATTTTGCTTGGCACGTGCACCTTGGAGCAGATGGCAGGGGGAGCCATGAGGGGCCCAATCCTTGTTGTGGCAGTGCAGCCCCAGTCCCTTCCTTGCCGTCCACTCTGAGGCATGCATGTACTTGCTACCAGCATTGAGTTGGGCAGGGGCTCTGTAGACCCCAGTGCAGCTGATTGCAGCCTCCCTGCTTCCTGCTGCAAGCAGCCTGGGCTCCATGGCAGGTGGCAGGGGCCTTCCTGGAGCCTGGGCTAGCTCTGGCAGGCAGCCAAGAGGCTGCAACCAGCTGTATCGGGGTCTGTGGAGCCCCAGTCCAGTTTGCCTGCAGTGGGTGCATGCGTGCCTAAGGGCAGATGACAAGTTAGTGGGGCTGCACTGCCACAACAAGGATCAGGCCCCTCATGGCTCCCCTTCCACCCACCCCTAGCACACCAACATCTTACAAGTTGAGGTTGTGAGTGTTTTTTGGTACTGTACCTGACAAGGTTGCTGACCCCTACTCTAATTTGTACCTAGCTTATTTTGGACTGTGATTTGCTTCTCTCCTAGATCTGATGAAAAGTGTTTGCAGCCTAAAAACTGGTCTCCTACCTCTCCTAGATATACAAGTTGGTCTAATAAAAGGAATGACCTCCGCTCTCAAACCTTGTTTCTGATATCCCTAGATCATGATAGCCACAGCACTGCTGTGACTTGCAGTACTATTCAGATGTAAATAATGAATTAAAGTTTACATTTTTCCAGTTCTCGGTAGTGAAGAGCAAGGAATCATCACAGAGTATCTTGTCACCCTTACTCCATTATAACTGTTTAAAAACCCACATGGTTTATCAGTCTTACTGCTTTAAGGCCACTTTTCAGCCCATTCAGAGGACACAGTTAACATTGAATATAAATCTGTAGTATGGAAATAGAATGTACTTAGGAAAATACTGCTTTTTGCTACTTACCTGTGTAGGCTCTGGATTTAGGAGCCAGATGCCTTGGTCCAGTGGGGACCCAACCCTCAGACCGACCACGACCTTTCCATTCAACAATAGGCAAATTTATTGATACACAGTGATAACAGAAAAGAAACTATAAGCAATTGTATACATCTACCAATCCTAGGGCTGTCATCAGAGTCAAGAAACATCTGGCCAGGATGCAGGCTTCACTCTGAAGGTTCTCCCTTTAGGTGTCAGATGGCAGCAACTTGGAGGGGGGCTGGCAAGGTCCCCCCACCCGGTGGGGTGGATGAGATGGGCTGGTGGTGTGGTCTCTGTCCGTGGTGGCCTTGGGGACCCGGCCCTTTGTTACTCTCAAGTCTCTGCTTTTGTATTCTCCTTCCCTCCTGATGACTCTTGATCCATGGCTATTGCTGATTGGTCTCGCTGTGGTTCTGTTCTGTCAGCATATTCCAAGCTCATCACAGCTGGGAAAACAGACCCAGGCTTTAAAAATCAACACCTGCTGCCCATCTTGAACCATTCTAATGCATATATATATATATAAAAACCTTTTAAATACCATTTTCAAGCTATCAGTCTGGACTGAAAAAACTTACCAACAGGGGGAGGGATGGGGGTCACTCATCCTATTGGGTGGGAGTGCATTTTGCTGCTCTTGGAGACAGAATAAGCTAGGTACATTTTTTTGCACAAGATGACTACTGTGGGTGCCTCTCCCCTGTGAAACAAATTGGCTATGGGTAGTAGGAAAAACTGCTGACAGTGTCAGCTTTCCTTGTTCTCAGGGGAATGTTTTGGCCTGGATTAAATCTTTAGGTTAATAGTTCTTTCACAGAGTAAAGTCTTTCCCGGTGATGGTGTTTTGGCTCTCTTTGCTTTGCCTATTGAGCGTGGCCAGTGTAATTTGAAGAAGTGTCAATATAAGTTGTGAAAACTAGTATGCTGCACAATGAGATCTGTTTTCCTTTTTCTCTTTGAAAGATGTTGTTCCTTGAAGTTCTTGTGAATTTAGACTGGTAGCTTCTTGGTAGAAATCGGGAACCTGTACAGAAGTCCCTAACAGCCATCACTTTAGTAGGATCAAGTGGCTCTGTGAAATCTAATTCCAGTGGACTGTGTTTGTACGTAACAGACTACGTAGCTTAGCTGTCTCCTGTAGGATAATATTTAGGTTTCCATACACCATGAGTTTCATTTACATGCATACTGGATAAATGCTTTGTTTAATGTAAGGGCAGCCCCTCCTGGTTGCCTGTGTTTAAACTGTAGCAAACTGTAGCTTTCTGCATATCAATTAGCATAGCATCTTTGAGACCCAGTTTGCTTGGTAATTAATTCTACTCTGGGATTAATTATACTCTGACAAAGTGAAGGGAAGCAGTTGTCAGGACATCTCTTAAAAGCCTTGAAAGTGAGAGTTGCTAATTAGTTTCAGGGCTGCATGTTTACAGCACTGACAGCTAGTTGTACTTAATGAGGCATTGTTGAGTTTCAGACAAATGTATAGCTTCTCTGCAGCAGTGAGGCAAGGCACTTAAGCAGTGGGCATTATATTGAACTTTAATTCTCCCCCACCCTTCCACTACTTTGCCCCAGAATTGTAAATTTAGAAATGTACCTGCAATAAAAAATAACCTTTTTCCTAGTAAAAGGAAAACTCTTTATGGGGGATAACCATTACTGTACTATCTTTTTATCCTTTTGCAGGACCCCCAGGACCTTCAAAATGTAGAAGTACCAATTGCAACAACAGCTAAACTGGTAGATAAAGTGATAGAGAACTTGCCAGAAAACCATGGGCAATACAGTCTGGCCTTGAATCTGATAGAGGCAGTGGAAGCAATCTCTTCATCATGATCTTCACTACTTTTAGAAAGGATGTATTGTAGGATGTATTGCATGATTTTACACACAGAGGATGAACTTTAGAGGGGAACTTCTGTGTGGCTTTTGTAAAATAAATTTAAATTTCAAAAAAATAAATGCTTTTAAAATAGTCCATTCTAAGTTCCACAGTATTGTTAATATAACAGAAATTAGTAACCTTTGTATACTTGTCAATACTCAGATGCTCCATTATTTATTTTTAACTCAAGCACTTTTGCTGTAGCTTAGATTGTTACATTTAACAGCAATTTTAATCCACTATTTGCAACTTAACCTACTGTGAGATTCTATATTTCATACTCTGAAGATGGTAACTGTTCAGTTTGTGTGCTCCATATAGAGTAGCTTTTTAAAAAGCTGTGTACAGCCTATGGCATTCCATAAATATGTAATGCCTAAGGAAAAATTTCAGTCTTGAATTTTTTTTCTGAAATCTGTGTTTTAGCTGCTTCTGCAAAAGAAACCTATATCCTGAAAGCCAATAGTAGTTATTCCTTAAAGGAGGCAGAGGTGAGATTTAGGCTGGCTTCTTCCTACCACATGATGTATAGTATTGATATGAGAGATTTTTTTTCTTACTGCTGCAGGCCTTAAAGGAAATATCCTAATTTTTAAAAAAGGAACATATCCATTAAAGCTTAATTTTTGGTCAGTGCTTTTAAAAGTAGAAACAGATATCATTTTACAAATAAAGTCTCATTGTTCATTCTGTACAGGTGGGTGAATTGTTATTGTGACTGTCCTGCCTATATTAGAACTGCAGGATTGGCCCCTGCCCTTAATACTTCGACTTGAAGGAGCTTAGTTCCAAATAACTCATCTGTGAATGTCTTTGTGGTAAAAGATTTTCACAGATGTATTTTCTGTAATGGCATCATTGTAAGAAAAGTATAACTTGTAGTCAGTAATTGTACTTGACTAGCTGACCAAACTGCTGAAGGTGTATTCAAGGAAATAACTTACGTTTTATAATATGCTCTGTCACAAAGGGTCTATCTGTAGTTAGAATATCTTAAGTAGTAGTTTGGAGTATTTTTAAGCTATTGGAAACAGACCATTGTTCTTTTGCAGTAGTTAAATATCCATAATGTACTCTGACAAATGCAGAAATGTTTTACATTCTTTCACAGGAAACATTCCTTTAGACAGGACTGGAAGTTCAAGAGTGAGATGACCTGTTTTTGGATCTGTATCACTTATCATGGAGGTGACAACTAGTAAAGCTAAATTTGTACTTGTCTACATGTTTAAATATGAAAAAGTAAAATTATAATTGCTGATTAGATACAGCTGCTTGAATTTGGTGGTACTACTGTCCTAAGTCTCAGGCTACTAGAAGGGACTTGACTTGGTCATGATTACCTTCTTGGATGTGTATGCTGCTGTCATTAGCAAAACAAAACAAAAAGCCCACCCAAGTTCATTTGAATTAGTTTCAGGATAACTTCTGTAGGAAAGGAGAACAGTTTCTGTTGTTACCTAATCCCTCCACTGTCTTGAATGATTAGCATTCACAAGGAGCTTTACCATTATGATTACTCAGACCAGTCTTCCTTAAACTGAACAAGGGAACTAATGTTTAGTTACTGAACAGTTTGAAATTATGTTGCACTTCTAAGAGAGCCTTAATGCTAAAAATATGACAGCATTCAGTTTGTACCTTAAATGTAGCTATTATTTTTACATATTATGAAGTTCAGGTTAGTGGGAGGCTTTGATTTACAAAAGAAAAACAGTCTTTTAGACTATTCCATGTAAGGTACAGAGTATTGATAAACTACCTACTACCAAGAACAAAAGGGTAAGGCAGCTCCATCCAATTACAGGCACCTTAATCTTCATTATGTAACACATCTGATGACAATATTCTAGATTTCCAAAGGAACTGTATTACAGTTTCTCTCTACACTACATCCTTGTACATATATAGTACTGTAAATGAGCTAATGGTCTGTCTGAAGGGCACCCTGCAGTGTTGTGTGTGATAATACTCTAGCTAGTTGTTAATGAGCTCCCTGGGTACTAGAAGCATTATAGAGCCACTAGCCCAGCGAAAGCACTGCATTAATGCTAGTTCCAATGGCTTGGGTATTTCTGCATGACTGCATTATGCTGTCTAGGCCTACCCTTAATGTAACTAAGAATCAAGGTCTGAGGGAGTTATGTGAAATGCTTACAAACCAAACCTGTAATGTATTGTAAGAAAGATTCTGTATATACTGCTATTTTCTGTGTTCCATTGCTGTGGATTTGTGTAAATTGATTAAAGCTGGGGCTCAGTTGTACATCTTTCTCACTAGCATGCAGTCCTGAGTGACCATCTATGATAGGGTGGGTTTTTTAACCAGTTGCTGTCTTAAAACACTTTCTAGTTGCACTACACAGCAACTATTCAAAAATCAAATTTCATTTACTGTGATCACAGTAGATGAAACCACAACTGCTGCTGTGCATTGTTACATTTTAATACAGTTTATTCCTTTATTCCACTAACTTGTATGCATTTTCACAGAAAGGACTCTTAAAGGATCTGTCTGCATTATTAGTCTACTTAAGGAATATTACACTGTTTTGATGAACAGTTTATTAAGTTTATATACAGAAGCATTTTGAAACGTTTTTTTCCCTGGTAATGCAACTCTGCTCAGGTTGCAACCTAGTCTCTTGTCCCAGGACTTCTATAACCTTGCGGATACGCCGAGTCACCTTTTAACATTCCAGTAAAGATCCTTTCAACTTCACCGACTGTGAAATGGGATGTTTAAGTGAAGTTTTACCCCCTTTACAGATTTAAACAGTCATCCAACTGGAATTAATCTACACAACTTCCTTTCCATTTCGAGCAATGACTTCCGTGCAGCGTGGACATATTGTGAGTGTAGAATCAGAGGTGTATCGCCTACAGCGAGGGCATTTTGCTCTGGCAGATGGTTGAACAATAACTTTGTAGGAAGACTCTTCACATATATCACCACCTACCAAAGAAAGTTTTAATGTACAAAGTACAAGCAGTGTTGAATTTGAATATCTAACAAATCAGTGCAATGCAACCTCCCTTTAAATACATTTAATAGTTTCTGTTCCTTCATAAAGTTCAGCCCTTGCCAAAGGAGGACCAAAACAAGGCCTGTGTCAGAAACTTGGAGAGTGCTCTAAGACAGTCTTTGCTGTCCAGTGCAGGGGTACTCAGCCTCTGGCCCATGCGCCAAATCTAGACTGCTAAAACCAAGGCATGAGGCCTGTATGGTTCCCCATAGGTTGGAAAATTTAGCATTAGCAGTTAATACTGCCAATTTCTCAAGTCCTGCATGGCAGATTACAGCTCAACTGTGTCCCCTCACCCCACACAACCACATGGTTGGATTGAGGCTGGGCTGCCAAATGGAGATCTGGCCTGCAAACAGATTAAGCACTGTCCATCCAGCCCACTAGGCAAAGAGATTGTTTTTGCACTAGATCAGAGGTGCCCAAACAAAAAAAAAAAAAACCAACAAAAAAACAGAGAATTCAGAACATTTTAAGGTCAGTTCCCCCTTTTTTACCTTCTAAATTGATCAAGAAGCTCCCTTCAATGATCTTTTCCTCTGAAGCCATTTCTTTGGGTAGTTTTGTTAGTAGAGTTGTCTTTGAAGCCATCATGATTTCATTCAGCTGTGAGATACTGGAAGATTCTTCAGGCTGCAATGCCTAAAGAGAAGAGTACAAATTTTCTTTAGTTGAGGAAGTAAAACATTACAGCCTGGCTGAAGTTCTGCATGCACAGGTACCTGCAACCCTCCTGGTGGATCAAGTTCAGCCCTGCTCCTAGCAATGGCTGCCCTTCTCCATGAGTGGATCCTACTGCCAATAGTACAGCTGCACACTAAAATATCAACTCCTCTGTTCAAAGGGTAGATTGTGGTCCTTAGTTTTGATGCCATACTGGCAACCATGAAACTACCATTTCCACCTCTATACATCTTATTTAAGCGCCTTTGGTCTTAGCTCTGCTTCGTTCTCACAGGATGATGAGATTTTTCAGGAGTGGTAGTGGGTTCTATTATGAACATGTCCTTTAGGACTGGACTACAACCACCACTTATTTATTCTGGGCTTGGCAGCAACTCGGGAAGTCTGTATTTAAACTGGAGACTGTAGGACTGAAGTGTCAAAAATTCATCTATTCTTCTGTGCCGGGGGCCCCGAGAGACCTGAAATGTAACCCATGAGGGAAGGTAACATCCAGTCATCTAATAATAGATGTTAGTGGTCTCCATTAATTTCCAAAACAGGTCTTCAAATTCTGACATATGTGCTGGCCCTGGATCAGGAATCAAGTGACTCTCAAAGAAGAACATGGCCAGGGTCATTAATACAGATGCTAACAACCCCTCCCTCCCCAGCGCACACCCCCATACCCACAAATAAGTATATCTGCAGATGTTATTTTTTCTAGGTTAACATGGTATTAGCTAGGTGCCTTCCCCCACCCCCATTACCTCCATTAGCTCAAAAAATAGCCCCGGCTCAATTACAATGACGACCTCGTGTTCCAAAGCATTCTTGCCAGGGATAGAGCCAAGGAAAGAGTCTCTTATGGCACATGCGCCCTCCACTGCTTCTTCAAGGCCAGGTTTCTTCCACACTGAACTTGTGTTGATCCAGCCAGTACGAAAGACGCTCTCTGACTCTTGAAACAAAAATATACTTCAATGCATTTGAGCTATGGGGTCTCCTCTCTTTCTATTTTTCTGCATGGGGAGCGAGGTTTAACAGCAAGGTTTAAAAAGAATGCAGACATATGTGACAATTGCTCCAGCAAAAGTGGTCCATGCAAAGTGCTTGGGTAAAGGAGCTGCACGTGCCTTACCTGTACCCATCTTGTAGGGGAAGTGTTGGAAAACCTCCTCTGCCAGATGAGGGAGGATTGGTGCAACAGACCGCACTACTGCATCAAGAACCTCCGCTAGGACAGTCTGACAGGAACGGCGTTTAAGGCTCTTCTCCTCTTCACAGTAGAGCCTGCAGTTCAGAGGCAGTCCAAGGTTATGGGTAAGTCACCCTGACAAGATTTCAGCTAGCTAAACTGTCATTCTAAACAGGAGGCCAGACTTTCAAAAAAGCTGAACCTGTTAGGCCTAAGGCACTCCTGAAAAAGCCATTTGTCACAGCTAGTTCAAATATAATGACTGACATTCTCTTCAACAGAGAAATCTTTACAGAAAACAAATGCAAGATTGGTTTCTTTTTCTTCAATAAAAGTAATGCAGTTAGTACAGGTTGACCATATGTTACACACAGAAAAGTAGACAGGGAAATGCTTTACTTGTTAGACAGAGGTCTTCTAATAAGTAAAGCATATTCCTATCTATTAGTCTGAAAGCCATTACACAAAATAAAACGTGATGGTGCGATTCAAAAGGAACTGTTCTCGAGTTGTCTTCTAAGCATCTACTCATTTCCTTTCTTTTTTCATTTAACATACTAGCTTTTAACCACCATGAGGAGTGAACCAAGCATCCATGTCACTGAGAGCAGCTATGCAATTCTGTCTGAATCGGGTCTCCTGTAGAGCAGAAAGCCTGCGACTGAAATAGGTTTTTGGTTTGTTTGTTTTTTGCCGGGGGGCGGGAAGGTTGTTTGGGGTTTTTTTGGTTACAATCAAAAACATTTTGGAGAGCTTGCATGCTAGGAAGATCTGGACTAAAATTTCTACTGCCCTGTGCTGGAATTTTTACTTCTCCATTTCTGAGACCAGTGGAATGGCTGACTGCCCTGCCCACATGAAAAGTCTGTTGTTGACTGCAGAGCCTAACTTAATGCACTTCCATAGATTTCATAGACATTATGGACTGGTAGGGACCTCATGGAGATCATTGGGTCCAGCCCCACCCCTGCCATAGGCAGGAAGTCAGCTGGGATCAAGTGACCCCAGCAAGAAATACATCCACATGTTTTTTGAAAGAGTCCAGGGGGGGTGTTGTTCCAGACCCTAGACACTCACACCATAAAGAACATTTTTCTTATATCCAGTCTAAATCGGCCTTCCTGGAGTTTATGGCTGTTAGACCGAGTTATCCCTTGGGGGGCTCTGGTGAACAGCTGTTTTCCCAGGTCCTGATGCACCCCTCTTATATAATTGTAGGCTGCCATCAAGTCCCCCTGAGCCTTCTCTTCCAGACTGAAGAGTCTGAAGTCCTTCAGCCTCTCCTTGCATGGCCTGCCCTCCAGGCCTTGGATCATACAAGTGGCTCTCCTCTGGACTCTCGCATCCCTCATGAAGTGGAGAGGCCTAGTACTGGACGCAGTACTCCAGCTGTGATCTCACCAGGGCCAAGTAAAGCAGGAGGATGACTTACTCGGTTTTGCTTGAGATGCATCATCGGATGCATCCCACAGTTTGGTTTGCTTTGCCAGCCACAGCATCGCATTGCTAGCTCGTATTTATCTTGTGGTCAGTCAAGACCCCCAAGTCCCTTTTGGTCGTGGTGATAGCGAGCGTAGCACTGCCAAGCCTGTAAAGTATATTGAGGGTTCTTCCTACTGAGCTGCAGCACCTTACACTTCTGTACACTGAAGGCCACCCTGAGAGCGTGTCCAAGTCGGCCTGTATCCCCAGCCTATTCTGTGGTGCGACAGCCCTCTCCCATAATTTGGTATCATTCATGAACTTTGCCAGTTCGCATCTGACTCCCGAATCCAGATAAGTAACGAAGCTGCTAAAGAGTACCAGCCCAAGTACCGAGCCCTGAGGGACTCCTGGCCCAGGTCATGTGTTACCTGGTCATAGAAGGAGATGAGGTTGGTCAGGCAAGACCTGTCAGTCACAAAGCCACGTTGGCTTGCATTCAGATGCTTGCCTTCCATTAGACTGGTGTTGATGGATTCCTTGACAATTTTTTCTAGGGATGGCTGTTAGACTGATTGGTCTGTAATTCCCCAGATCATCCCTCCTCCCTTTCTTGAAGACAAGGACCATGTTGGCTCTTTTCTAGTATTTCAGGACCTCTCTGCCAATGGGGGTGCAATGTTTGCCAGCTCTTTCAAGATTTTTGGGTGCATTCTGCTTGGGCCCATAGATTTGTGAACATCTAGTTTCTCAAGGTGTTCCCCCTCACCTGATCTGCATCAATTTTGGGCCTGTCACCCCCTCCCAGGATGGTTTGTGTCCTTTCTGACAGTGTGATCCCCTTGGGAGGGTGAAAAACCTATGCGAAAAAGCCATTTAGGAGATCGGCCCTTTCTTGGGCGTCAGATGTCAGTTGCCCCATTAGATCTCGCAGGGGACCAATGCTATCTTTGTTCTTTTTTTGACTTCCCACATATCTGAAGAAGGACTTTTTGTTGTCTTCGATTCCCGTAGCTGAGTTTGGTTTGTGACTTGGCTTTTCTTTGTTCCTCTCTACAAGTGTGGGTGAGTGCTGAGTAGTCCTCTTTGGTGATGCTTCCTGTTTTCCAACTGGTGTAGGCTTCTCTTTTACGTTTAATGAGGTCCAACAGCTACTTGTTCAGCCAAGGGGGCTTCGTTGCCTGTTGACTGCATTTCTTGCAGGATGGAATGGCTTTCCCCTGTGCTTCAAAGACTGTGTTTCTCAGAGATGACCATTCTTCACGTACTCCTTTTTCTAGGGGGTGTGGCCTCCAATTGTCTGACTGACCAATTTTCTGAGTTTGCAAAATTCAGCCTTCCCAAAGTTAAGGACTTCTGTTTTACAGAGGGGTTTGCCTGCTCTTCGATGAGTTAAGAAGGTGACCAATTCATGGTAGCTGTCACAAAGCTTCTTGATCCTCACGTTGCTCACCAGGTCCTTCCCTTTGGCTTGGACCAGATCAAGCAATGCCTCTCCCCTAGTCAGCCCATAGACCTCCTGCATTAGGTAGAGGTCATCAATGCAAGTGAGAAAGTTACATGACCTGTCAGATTTGGCCATGCACTCATCCCAAGAGATCATCTCCCATGACGATCATACAATCGAGAGCACGTGGCCTCGACTAGTTCCCTATAGCATTCCCAATTTAGTTTCTTCGTCTTGGTGGGAAGGTCTATAGTAGACACCTACAAATGTCACCCTCCTCACGTTCTCTCCGTATTTTAACCCAGAGGGTCTCAAGACGCCCTTCCAGGTTAGAAAACTCAATCTCTTAGTTTTGAAGAAAGATATTATCCCTTAAATGTACTGTCTATTATTCAGGGATGTTGGTTATAGCTGTGTTGGTCTAAGTACATAGGCAGACAAGATTCTTTGGGTAAATATGATCATATTGGGTAAATGTAAATCACATTTACCCAAAGAAACTTGTCTGCCTCTTGTATGTTACTCTGCAGTTACAACAGTTACAGCTTTAAGGAGGTCTTATGTGACCTGTTTTGAGTTCAACTTGCTTTGGTACAAAGAAAGATCACCCCCGCCCAAGGAAATCTGTAGATTTCCTAGTCTTACATGTGTCTTATATTTGTGCTTTTTTTCTTTCCCTTTCCTTTTTTTTTTTTTTTTTTGAAGAAAAATCCTGTTAAGCCTGAATCTGTACCTACATGTTCTCTTGGTAACAGAGAAATTTGGATCCCTCCTGTTTTTTTTGTGTTTTCCCCTTCAATTAGAAGGGTCTGTGCCAGGAGGGGTATATCAGGACCTACCATGACTTTTCCTTCAGAAAATAACTGAAGGACAGATCTTAAGTGCAATGTGACTGTTACTAGATGCTGAAGTCATTCTCTCGCTGGAGTCTTAAATTCACCTAAATTCAGCCCTGTACATACAATCTTTCACAATCTCCAGTCTCAAAATAGGTTACTTAAACATACATGACAAAAAACTTGCAGTAGTGAAAGCAAGGATTAATACCTACCGGTCTTTGATTATACTGAAGTAAAAGTTGGACAAGTCCCTAGTGTGGAAAGCTTGCAACAGCCGAATAACCCTGCTATAATCATATTCCTTGTATGCTTCTGTGACCTGGGGAATGGAGCCAGGAAAGAGATGATAGAAGCACACCAAATATCAACATAGGGCATAAAAAATGCAAGTCACGATGAGTCTAGGAAGTCTTAAGGAAACAGGAGGGAGAGGGAGACAAGTGCTGAATGAGAGAGCCTGGATTCTTGTAGGGGAAAATTGCTAATTCATACAAATTAGACAGAGCACTTGTATTGATAGGAACACAGAAATAATGTAAGGCCACTGCTTAGAATTTTGACTTAAATTGTTTTTTTTTCTGTCTTTATGGGACAGTTAAGCAAAATTGAAGAGATCTTGTCCTCATACTAATGAATTTTTCAGTAAAAGGGGAAGAGAACACCAGAAAATAAACTATGCATGTGAACATGGAGAGTGCCACATGAGAGCACAGCTCTAGCACTGGGCTCTCTTCTCACTGGAGCATCTGGAAGTTTTGAAAAAACAAGTCTAGGTCAAATTAGGCAAAATTCAACACAAGCTCCCTGTGCCTGTGTTTTTCTTAAAAGCAAAACAAAACCAAAAAACTCCAAAACAAACCACGCCCTTTCAAAAAGCCATAGTTTGCTGGCAAGAGGGATAGCTGTACTTCACAGGTTGGAGCCTGGCCCCAGACATATCCACCGACTCCAGTGGAAGTTGAGTACTAGGATCAAAGGGCAAATTTAACCTGTAGTTTTTCAAAATAAGCTATATTTTAAATGGGGACAGATTAAAGACACTTCTCATCCATATACCTGAAAGATTGTTTCTGTGAACTACATACTGTACATATAGTACAGACAGAACCCAAGTGCAACCTAAAGCTTTCTTATCCTAAAACAGTTGACATTCATGATGGAAGCTACACAACTTGAAAATAAAAGGTGAAGCTACTATGTTCTTATCAAAGTGACAAGCAAGAGCTTACTCTTGCTGTATTATTAGAAGAGTCTGTTGTTTAACCATTTTTATTTTAAGATAAGAAAATGCAGACATGCTCAAGTATATTCTCCTAAAACAGCATAGCGTATTTAGTGTTAGCTAACAGCTAAAAACATGATCTAGTAAATCACATTAGATTAACACAATTCCCCCTCACCTTGTTGCTATAATCCTGCAGTAAGTGTAGCATGTACTGATCTATTACATACATCTCTGAAGCAGGCACGGAGTCGGTTTCTGGACTGAAGCCAGCCACGTTTCCCAGCAGGAAGCGTAACGTATTCCGAAGCTAGCAATTAAACCAGACAAGTTCAATTAAGCTACTTAACTATAAAACCAAACAACAGACAACATACAAGAGATTTCTACTGTCAAAATTTAAATCACTAAACTCAATGGTTTTTCTAATTGGATCACTCCAAATCATTGCAAAATTCAATGCAGAGCATGCACCACAAGGATTATAATGCAAAAGAACAAATAAGTTATGTGCAAGCAAAATTCAAGACAGTCAAGATAGAGAGTTTTTATTTTCTCTAAATTATATTACTCTTTTACCAGGCTGTGAAGGGAAACAGTAATAATCATGTGTTCAGAAACAACCCAATTTTAAGCCAAAATAATAATAATAAAAAAAAAAGATTAAAGCCATTTGTAATTGAGATGAGTGTCAAAGTCAACAGTCACCAATTTTGGAAGGATTCTATTCAGTCACTATAAAACTAAAAGTAAAGAAGCACCACGTTAAAGTAGTTGCTTTCACCTTGTTGATATCATCTCTTGCAGCATTTAGTACAGCTGGTCCAATCAGCACTTCAGTGAAGACATTTGACTCTGCCACCCACCAACGAAGAACATCTGCACCATATGGAGGCTCCTTACTGTGGTCCTGTTTATGGACAGAGATGCAAAGCTTTTTTCAGTTTTGCTAATTTGCAAAGTAAAACCCATGCAAAAAGTCCTTGTGAGGTTGGATAGAGACTTCCTGCCTAGAAGAAAAGCATGCACTTAAAAAAAAAACCAAAAAAACAAAAAAAACCCCCACACAACCAAAAAACGCAAACAGGTAAGTGAGGCATAATCATGTGGAAGAACAAAATAATAAAAAAGCCCACCCCCCATATTTCTACAGCATCAACTTCAGCATAACTTCTGATTGTTCAAAGAAATAAGAGGTTCCCAGGTCATTTAAAAGCCCAATCCATAGCCTCATGGGATGCTAGGTGCACAGGATGCTGTGATGGCTCTTTACCAAAGACACATATTTGAACTTTTATTTCAGCTCGGCTTTTGTTTAGAAAGTCCTTTCAGCTGTGCAGTAAAGAGCCACTTGCAAGTCAGTGGTAATGCACTAGATCTTCAACAGAATTAGATATATTGAGTTTTATTATTTCCAAATTGTTTGAACAGAAGCTTTCCAAAGATCTATTATAGCTGCTTGTGGTATGAGAGGAAAATACAGTATACAACTATCTACAACACGATGGAACTGTAAAAATTTCATGAGACACTATGTGCATGGACTTACTTGTCCTCCATTGATTACTACATCAGGGTCAACCACATTGCCAATAGATTTAGACATCTTTTCTCCTTTTTCACCCAGGGTGAATCCATGAATCATCAGAGTCCTTATAAAAAGAATAAATAAATATATACACATACACCCTGAGGTGACTTTTAAACAACACATTTGCAATCTTGTCGTTCCACAATGTGAACTCTAACCAAGATCTCATTAATACAAAAGAAATCCTGTTGTTACCAAGAGTAGAAATACCAGTGTTGCCACCTCTCATGATCTTTGGCATTCTCTTAAAGTCTGTGCTTCAGGAATGTGAAAAACTTAGCTCTTTCTATTTTATTTAGACACACGCATATGTGTGTGTGTGTGTGTAGGGATGCGTGTGTGTGTTTATAAAAATATCTATATATAGCTATATAGATCTAGATAGATAGGTAAGATATTTCTCTCTCTCTAGATATCATATCATAAATTGCATGTTTCCCACTGTAACCCAACTTTCCCAATTACGGTAGCTACTTACACTTAGCTGGCTTGAAAACCAGGAGAGAGAGAGCGGTGGGTTTTATTTATGTATTTATTTTAAATGAAAATTTAGATTATGCAACCAGTTTTACTGTTTGGGAACAACCTCACACCTGTTAAATTGATCAAGACATTGAAGTTCAAAATCCCACCTCCCTTTCACTGAGCTTGACTGTTCAGTTCTGTAGGAGCTACTCTAAGGAAGTTGCCAAGGTTCATTTTTAAGTCACTGTTCAGGGCAGCGTCAGGGTGGGCAATGGCAGAGATAAATGGTGACAGCAATAGACATAATGGGGCATTACCTGAGTAACAGAGAAAATAAAAGGCATCAGAGCATGAAAGAAAGCATCCATTTAAACTCAGGATGGGGGAAAGTATGCAGGAAAGAAACCCATTGTAGTGTATACCATTAAGCAAATTTTACTGCACAAAGCTCATGAAGGCTATCTAAAGATTCAGCAAAGGTCGTCGTGGGAAGAGGGTTTGTTCCTATGTTCTCCTGTTCAAATACCAGATCTGCAAACCATGCACTTACTTATAAGGTGCTTTTTTTCTTGTTGCCACACTAGTCAAGACAGAGGACTGAAACCAGCCTCCCAATTGGTCTTTTCCTTCCAAGTACAAGTCTGCTTGTTGATCTGCATCTTAAAAGAAAATAAAGTGTCAGATTTTTTTTTAAGTGTCATTTTATATTGGATTCTTGGAAAACAAGAGTCACATTGGGAAATACTGTTACTCACTGCTGTAGGCAGACTGGAAAATGGTTAGAGAACATGGTGCTTTTATTGTTTGTACCAAGATCTGATTTATTTCTTACCATAAATAATACAGAAGACTACATGGAAAACATGTTACTATCGCAACTACTCAAGCACATTAGCTAACAATAGGAAAAAAAAAAAGTATATGGTCATTAAACCTAGTATTCGTTATACGCAAAGAATCTACATAATGGAAGCAGCTCGTCTTTCTACTGAAATAAGCACTGCTAAAATACGAAAAATTCAGAATAATGTAATATTGCTTATTTTGCTCTCAATGCATTTTACAGAAAGACTGAAAAACTCTTTAATCAGTAATATAACTGTAAGCTTCACTGTAAGCTCATGCATTATCAACAAGAATTCTGCAATGAGCTATGAGTTCATCAGAAGGGAACAACTCAGAAGAAGGATCTGGCTGTATCAGTACAGGAGTGGCCAACCTGCAGCACATGTGCCACAAATGGTATGGGCAGCCTCTGTGCGAGAGAGGCAGCAAATCAGGGAGGGAACAGGCAGCAGAGGACAGAAAGCAGAGCAAGATGTGCGGCAGGGAGCACAAGGCAGGGAGCAGCGTAGTAGACTGGGCAGGGGAAAAGGATCAAAGTGGCGCACAGGTTAATTTGTGGCCCTCCTGCCAAGAAGATTGGCCTCTACTGTATTAGTAGAGGCCATTAGGTCTCTCCAATTTATTTCCAGTAGAGAGATGTAAATGTTATTGCAATGCATTAATAACTGATTTTACATAGCTCTGGCAAGACCTCATCTAGGATACTCTGCACCTAATTTGGTCACCCATGTTCAAGAAAGTCAAGCCCAAACAACTGGAAGAAGCAGAGAAAAAGGGCACCAAGATGAACAGGGGATGAAAAGCCTATCTGACAAGAGGGGAAAACAGCACTGAAGGAAAAGACCTATTTAACCAATGAACAAAGGATGGTACATGTTGGTCATGAATAAATTAAAGCTGGAAAATAGAAGGTTTTTAATGAACGGAAGAGTGAACGGCTAGAGCAGCCTCTCATTTGGAGAGGTGGGTTCAGAATAAGCAAAAGAAAATAAAATGGTAACTACTTTCAATCAGCAAATGAAAGGGACTTATAACTTGGTTGACTGTGATTGCAAAGTAGTAAAGCAAATGAACAAGAAATCCTTTCCAGTTATATTGTTCCCCAAGTCTTTAAAAAAAAAAAAAAAAAGTTTCCAGTATCAGCATGCAAAAAATTAGTTTCACAGCATAGTACACCAGTGCTGTATCAACAATAAAAGCCAAGAGTCTCTGAAATTACGAGTACTCAAAAGTAGGATGGTGAAACTGGTGGTTATCCCATAGTACAATATACTTTGTGACAAAAAACTTTCCCTGGTATTCACAGAAAAATTTTCAGTTCCAGATAATAGTTCCTTTTATCTCTCTTGGATTGCCTGAGATAGCTTCTCTCTTTGGTGTTGACACACTCCATTTATTTGTTTAACTTAATGGAAGTTTCGATATTTAGATCCATCCTGTAATAAAAGTTCAACATTACAAAGGTCAAGGCTATTCAGCCACTGCTAGTAAAAAATGTGTGGGTGAAGGTTGTGCTTCCATCAGTTTATTCTTTCAAGAAAATCCACAAAGATCTAGTTTTAGACAGTGCAATAAAATGATTATTTTTTCCAGATTGCAAAATACCTGCAAATGCAAGATAACCACACCATAAAAAAGAGCTTTAATGCAAAAAACAGCAATAAATTTGGCATTGGCATTGGTCACTAAATAAAAGTATCTCTGGTACTTCTTTCTAGCAAACTATCTTATTTTGAAAATGATGATTTTTGCAATTTAGGGCAAAATTTTATTTTAAGGGCCTCAAATCCAGACAACTGAAAACCCTAAACAGATGACCACTGGCAATATTCAAGCTAAATTTATTAGTACTGGTCTTTCTGACAGGAAACTGCATGCCTGGAAGAATAGCATGGTACTTTGCATTAACTGAATAAAACATTTTTTTTTGTAGTTTACTGGCGAGGTCTCATGCTTCGTTTTAATGAAAAAGCAGCCAAATATTGGTGACTGTCAATTTTAAGGAGTACAAAGTTCTCTTCAATTATATAGAAGAGCAGAATTACAGTTGACAAAATTTCAGGTTTCTCTGACAATAAGGTATAGAGCATAGGTCATTAAACAATTATCATTTATGATCCTTTTGGTTTAAATTTCAAGATTCTTTATCTTTGATCATACAGACTTTGACTTCCAGGTTAAAAACGTATGATACTTTAATGCCAAGAATAATTAGCTAAATTTTAATTTAAGCTTTCTGGTCAGCACAAAAGTTAAAAACACAGATAGACGTGCTGTAAAATAATCATATCCACTCAGTTAAACATTACCAAGAGAGATAGGAGAAAGAATTATGGTGCTGAAAGTACACTTCTTGCAACAGAAAGAAGTTTCAGTATTATTAGGATGTAGGGGCCTGACTCAAAACCCAGAGTCGATTGGAACTGCTCCACTTACTCAGTGGGCTTTGAATCAGGCTCCTATGCCACAGTAATATTAAAAAGACATTTACACACAAATGTAAGGTTAAACTTATGTAATCCTCACTGAACTCAAAACAAAATTATTCATTTAATCTGAAAGCAGGGGTGCAGCAATAAAGATTGTCTTAGACGATACCAATAGCTGATTATTACCCAACTGTATCGGCCTATGCCAATCCAGTAACTGATTTACTTTAAAATGAAAGGCTTAAAAAAGGCTGCAGGGGCGCTTGAATTAAGCTTGCTGAATGAGCTTTAGATCAAGCGCTGCTGCCACCATTTTTAAGCATGGGGACACTTGTAAGTGTAGCAGAGCCAAGAGTGGCAAGGGCAAATGCAGGTTGCCAGCTGTGGGCTTGGGGATCTCTACCCTGCTGCCTTTGCCCCGGGAGTCCTGCGCTGGATGGAATGAAGAGCACACACCAACTGCTGAAGCTTCCTTAGCCTGACGAAGGGTTTTTGAACCCAAAAGCTTGCTTAATAACCATTCTCCAACCATTTGGGTTGGTCTAATAAAAGATATCAAATTCACCCAAGGAACCTTGTCTGCCTATTATCACATATAGACACATCCATTCTAGGTTAACATACTAGAGATGCAAAGTCCTCTTTCAATGCCTTACTCAATAACATCCTCACTGTCATGCAATTGCATTTTCACAGACCTACATTTTACATTCTGGCTTCTATTCTATCCAGGAGAGCACACAAACACCAGCACACAAAGCACACCAGCAAACTCTCCCTATGCCTGAATAAGCTTGTTTGTGCCTGGAAGCTTGCAAAGAACAATTTTTCCAACAATTTAGTTGGTTTAATAAAAGATATCACATCTACCCAAAGAAACTTGTCTGTCTATGTCCTTAGACCAGCACTGCTACAAGCAATAACCCTAAAGCATGGAAGATATTAAGTTTTGTTGTTTGAAATGGAAACTTCACAACACGAAGAAGAAAGAAGCCAAACTCAAGAGCCACATCCTCACTGCCATCCATTTACATTTTCACCACCCTGCAGTTTATATATTGGCTTCTATTCTACCCAGGAGAGCATACAAATACCAACAGACTCTCCCTGTGCCTGAAGAAGGATGTTTGTGCCTGAAAGCCTGCAAAGAACAATTTTTCCAACTATTCAGTTGGTCTAATAAAAGATCTCACATGTACCCAAAGAACCTTGTCTGCTTATGTCCTTAAACCAACATGGCTACAACCAACAACCCTTACTCATTAACACAGATTGACACCCCTGCTTTACGTGCACATTAAAGATATGGCCTATGGAGCCCTGCCACCCAGCCCCTGCTTCTCCAAGTAGACCCACAGGCTGCACATGGCAGGCGCAGGGCCGAGAACCCATGCCACATCCATTCCAGGATCCAGGCTGCCCTGGGGCAGGCACTGCATGCAGCGTAGGTCCTGAAGTGGATGCTATGGGCGCTGGATCCAGTATACATGGGGGGGGGCCTGGGGGCCTGATCTGGGGGGCAGTGCAATTTCTTCATGCATGTACAAAAGCATCATATAGTAAGTTAAGACAGCAATAAGCCAAGGGTATGGACAAACGTATATTTGTAGCTGCTTCAGAAGAGGAGGGGGAGCTGCAGCACGGGTGTACAGACCAGCTGTCATGCTGTAACTAGTAGATCTGAATAAGCCTGCAGCAAGACTGAGCTTAAATCATCCCAATTTTGACCCCAGATAGGTTGGAACAGTTCTTCTAAACTTGTATTGCTACAGGCTCATGCTCTTCCTTCTTCAATCATTTCCAACTGATGATCCCCAAACTTACAGCTGAAGATCTTGTCATTAATACATAAATGCACGAATTTAAAAATTGCACTGTTAAAATTTCATCTACATTTCAGGGGTGTAGGTTGTAGCCGTGTTGGTCTACGGACATAGGCAGACAAGGTTCTTTGGGTGAATCTGATACCTTTTATTAGACCAACTTAAGTAGCTGGAAAACAATTATTAAGCAAGCTTTTGGGTTCAAAAAACCCTTTGTCAGGATAAGGAAGTTTCAGCAGTTGGTGTGTGCTCTTCCTGGATGGAATGAAAAGTAAAGAAGCCAGGGGCTGGTCTGGTCTGCATGCAAGATAGATCATGAAGATAGAATCAATGAAGATGTAGATTGAGGAGTCAGTGGGTGAGAGACAGGCTGGGGGGTGGGGTTGGGGCAGAGAAGGGAGATGAATCGTAGAGAGGTACCTGGGGAGTCAGATGTCAGGCAGGTTATAATGTCTGTATTTAGCCTATGATTTTTAGTATCCAGGAGATTGATGAAAGGAGGTTAATAAAAGATAATCAGATCCACCCAAAGAACCGTGTCTATCTAAATTTCAGCACCTT